GATGCACATCAGGCTGGAAAATGTTACAAAACATCTGTAAAGAGTTTTGACTCCACCAATCCACTGTCACACTGATTGAGTACAAATGGAGGAAGTTCAAGAGCATTGTTACCCTTCCCAGGAGTGGTGGACCAACAAACATCACTAGAAGGAGTGGAATAGTCTGCGAGGTCACAAAGGACCCCGGGGTAACTTCTAACAACTGAAGGTTTCTCTCACATTGTTAATGTTAATGTTCATGAGTCCACCATCAGGAGAACACTGAACAATGGTTCATGGCAGGGTTGAAGGAGAAAGACAATGCTCTCCAACAAGAACATTGCTGCTCGTCTGCAGTTTGTTAAAGATCATGTGGACAAGACAGAAGACTGTTGGAAGAACGTTTTGTGGACGGATGAGACCAAAATAGAAGTTTTTGCTTTAAATGAAAAGAGTTCTGTTTGGAGAAATGAAAACTGCATTCCTGTATAAGAACCTTATCCCATCTGTGGAACATGGTGGTGGTAGTATCATGGTTTGGGCCTGTTTTGCTGCATCTGGACCAGGACGACTTGTCATCATTGATGGAACAATGAATTCTGAATTCTATCAGAGAATTCTGAAAGAAAATGTCAGAACATCTGTCCATGAACTGAATCTCAAGAGAAGGTGGGTCATGCAGCAACAATGACCCTCAGCACACAAGTGGTTCTACCAAAGAATGGTTCAAGAAGAATAAAGTTCATGTTTTGGAATGACCAAGTCAAAGTCCTGACCTTAAACCAATCCAGATGTTGTGGAAGGACCTGAAGCAGCAGTTAATGTGAGGAAACCACCAACATGTTGAAGCTGTTCTGTACGGAGGAATAGACCAAAGTTCCTCTAAGCTGCTGAGCAGGACTGATGCATGGCGGGGATGTCACACCAGGTACTGAAAGCAAAAGTTCACATACTTTTATCACTCATAAATATGTAATACTGGATCATTTTCTTCAATAAATAAATGACCAAGTATAATATTTTGTCTCATATGTTTAACTGGGTTCTCTTCATCTACTTTTAGGATGTGTGTGAAAATCTGATGATGTTTTAGGTCAGATTGATGCAGAATTATAGAAAATCATGTCCACTTTCAATCACCACTGTATAAGTTAACCTGTCACCCTTATCATTTGAGGAAACTATGCTTTTATATTGCTTACAAGTATAGTTTCCTAAAATGATTGGGTGGGTGGGTGGGGGGCCAAGGCCTCTTGAGGACCGGAGCAGTTGCTTCGCTGCATGGCAAAAACAGCTTGTTTCATAGTATTAGTCTGAACTGCTAACAGTAAAACAAAATAAATTAAAGTTGATGGAGTTATCTACAGTGATCATTTCTCCAGACGAAATCATTAGACAAGACTTTAATTGACTGATAGTTTTCAGCTTGACAAAAAAAATATTGTGACATTTTATTCTTGTAAGGTTTTGTGCAACAAGACCTATTAAATACAATTCAATTTTTGATGTTTCTTCATCGATTCTGATTCATTTTTATCAACATCACAGTTTGTTGATGTAAAAATAAGTTTGAACCCCCAAGCATAGCAAAAAAAAAAACCATGACATTCCTGCCTGCCCTAGATGTGCTACAGCTAGCTGCTACCAGCAAATACTCATAAAGTCTCATATAAAGCACTGTGTGGTCAGAGATTGACTGTGATGTAAAAGTTAACACAATAATATACACTTTCACACAATATACGCTTTAACACAATGTACACTTTCACACAATATACACTTTAACAAGTATAAAACGGGAGATTTCAGTTGTTTAAACATGACAGAAATCATCTTGGTCTTGCTTGAACTAGCTCAATATTTTAGTCAGAAATCCATAGAGCTATTTAAGGCAGTAATCGTTCTTAGATTCTTTACAACAGCATAGACACACTGACAGAGCTGAGCGTCGTGCTGATTGTCAGCATCTCTCCACAGTTTCACCAGCCAAAGACCTGACAGTGGTGGAGGTCAGCCCAGAAACCGTGGACCTGTCCTGGGAGAATGAGATGCGTGTGACAGAGTACTTCGTCACCTATGTGCCCACTGCCCCTGGAGGTCTAGAGCTGGACATGCGGGTGCCTGGGGACCAGAAGGAGGCCACCATTCGGGAGCTTGAGCCTGGTGTGGAGTACCTGATCAGTGTCTACGCTGTACTCAGCAACAAGAGGAGTGTTCCCGTCAGTGCTCGGGTGGCAACACGTTAGTAAATAAATGCTTTCCATGTACGTTCATAAACTATGGTTATATAAATTAAGAGGATGTACTCTAATATTTGGGTTTGTCCATTCTAGATCTTCCTGAGCCTGAGGGCCTTAAGTTTAAGTCAGTTCGAGAAACGTCAGTGGAAGTGCAGTGGGACCCACTGGATATTCCTTTTGATGGCTGGAACCTCATATTTAGGAACACGGTAAGTTTTGCTAAAATATACTGTATATTAATGTAGCTTCTTCATACCTGGAGGTACTTAAACACACCACATCCACATTCTTCTCCAGCTGAAACCACAGACTGTATGAGCTGGTGCAGAAAGCCCAGTTTTAACCCACCTCTTCTCAAAATGTATCCAAGGGTGAGAGTCCTCTGGAGAATGACTGAACCAAGACAGAAGTTCAAACAGCAGCTAAAGCTGTTAGCAAGTCATGGCAGCTCCAGTCACCACACAAATACTCATACTTTCCTGAGTTCTATGTGAGTGAAACATTTCTAAACTGTGCTACCAGGATCTGCACAAAGCCACATTTAGTTAAATCAACTTCCGAGTCAACCAAACATCATCTATGATGCCTTCTTGTCCGCTTGGCCTGCTTTAGTAGTTTTTTTAGTACACACTTTGCCAAGACTATTCTCTGCAGTGAGTAAGGACATGTGTTTTATTTATTTTTGGCAGAAAGAGGAGGATGGAGAGATTCTTAGCTCACTCAACCGTCCAGAGACCACCTTTGAGCAGTCTGGTCTAGGTCCAGGACAGGAGTACGAGGTCAAACTGGAGGTGGTGAAAAACAACAAGCGAGGGCCGCCTGCTTCCAAAAACGTCGTCACAAGTACGTGCACACGTTCTCATTGTGTTCTGGTTAAAACATCTAGAGATTTGCAGAAACACTATCCTGTGTGCACATGCTGCATGCTGTCATGTTACTTTATTTGCTGCAGCATTATTCTTTTGGAATCTCCTCAGGGATCATGTGATCTGAAAGAAGGTGTAAAGTTAAGTTTTACTTATTTCTGCCTGCTGCTGAAAGGTGAAAGACAAGAGATGTTCTACCAAGGTGAGGTCAGGTCCTCTGGACAGTCTTGACTTCACCTTGTTAGATTTATCTACCTATTGAGCACGAATCAGGACGATAAGAGATATTGTTTTTGTCTGTGTGTGTGTCAGTTACTAAAATCTCTCCTCAAGTTTTTTTTTTTTTTGAGTCAACCTGATTCAAGAAATATTTTGCAATTAGGAGCATCAAAGTAAGTTACTATCATAACCAGTTGAAAATGTATGTATATGTGTATGAGTGTGTGTGTGTGTGTGTATGTATATATGTATTTTTTTTATTCATATATA